TGGAGCCGAGCAAACTGAAGCTGTGAACAATCTCAATCTCTTCACCATCCATCCTGATGCTACCGATTGGTCTGGTGGTGAGAATTTCGGTCTTCTTGACATTGAGCCTCAGTCCATATTGAAGGCTGCAGTCCTTGACCCTCTGCAGTAAGTTCATGAGGTCCTCCTCAGTTTCAGCAAGCAGGGTGGTGTCATCTGCATAACCCACCGTCCTGTCCAGGTACCTAGCGCGTCCCGGTGCGGAGGTTTAAAGGCTCTCAGGGAAAGAGGTGGTGGTCACGGGGCGCGGTGCGGTCTCTCACCTGCCTGTCGCTGCGGGCGGGCCCGCGTGGAGTCCGGGGAGGCGGAGGCGGCAGGAGGGGGGTAGTGGTGGTGGTGGAGGTATTTCATATAGAACTGTTATTTTCCTACTTTTGTGCTCCATTTGGGGATATCCTGGGATGCTGGAGAGAACAAGATGAATGGAAGAGAAAAAGAAGGTTCAACTCTAGTTGCTTTAAATAATTTCATAGAGATACAAAGCAAAAAATTTCTTACGTGGTTCAAAAGATACTGATGAGCAGAGAACATCTAAATAAAAAGGGAAAAAAATACTTTGTTTTGTCTGCTACGAAGAGAACACATGTGGTTTAAAGTTGCTCCCATTCTGCAGAATCCAGTCTAGAGTTTCAATACCTCTCAATTTAAGAACAAGACTTCTATTTTTATTATAGAACTAGTAGTATGAGGAGTAGTAAGGGATTACTTTAATTGGTATACATAAAAGCTGTCTAAGTATTAGGAATTTTAGCTGGGGCTCCTGAACTAAAATTAACATCCCTACTGGGACTCGTTCTAAAGAACTGAATCTCTAAAAAACCAAAAATTAATTGCAATTCTACCTTCAAGGCAATTTTACCTTAAACTGTCTCTTGTTCAGTATAATTAGTGCCAAAATATACTCAGATGAGGTAAAACAAAAAAAAAGTGGAGGTTCAGAATAAACATATAAGTCTGGAAACAAGGGAATGTATTTGAGCTGTTCTGAGTATTCCAGTAATTAGTGTTGTCTATGATCTCTTCCTCTCTGTGTGTTTAACTCTTAAGTTTGTATGTTTATTTAGCATTTATTAAACGATTACAATGAACCAAGCATTATACTATTCTCTGAGGATAGTAAGAAGGCTAAAACATATAGTCCCTGGACTCAGAAAGCTTACTAAGTCTGGCCCATGTCATGAGTATTACATAGTACACTAACTATCCTTAGGCTTTTGCTAAGTCTTAAGAATACTAAGAAAACTGCATCATATGACATTTGTCTCAAGTCTTATTTAAGTAGAGAAACAAGATTTATAGATATGAAAGCATATAGAATGGACCATGTATTTTTAAAAACATGATATAGACAATGTGACATCAGTAAGCCAAAAGATCACTGTATGCCATCTGGGGAAGATGTATTAAAAAAAGATCACTCTTGAAAGCAGGAAACATTCTCCAAGATGATGAAGAAGACTGGTAACAAACATTCAGAGAGACATTTTTACAGAAATTAGGACTGTATTGACCCATCTTTGCCACTTTTAAGTCCTTTGTGTCAGTCCATCTCATTGAGGATCTTCCTCTCCTTCACTGACCCTTTACTACCCCAAGGACTTCCCGATAACATGCTCAAAGTATGTTAGATGAAGTTTCACCACCCTTGCTTCCAAGGAGCACCCTGACTTCACTTTTCCAAGATACATTTCTTTTTCGTTCTTGCAGATGGTGCTTATTTTCTTATCCGTCGTTGTGTGCCATTGAGTCAGAACCAACTGATAACTGACCTTCCAGCAGCTTTTCAGAGGCAGTGAATCCCACAATAGGAGATTGCCCATCTTTCTCTCATATTTTCTTATGTGTTGTTGTTGTTATGTGTCGTCGAGTCGCTTGCGACTTGTAGAGACCCTATGTACAACAGCCCTAAACTCTGCTCTGTCCTGTGCCAATCACACTGTCTCTGACACTCCCATTCCAATTACCCCAGTCACTGAATCAATCCACCTCTTAGAGGGCCTTCTCCTCCTGCGCTATCCTTCCACGCTCCCAAGCATGATGTCCCTCTCCAAGGACCGGTCCCTCCTTACAACATGTCCAAAGTATGTCAGATGAAGCTTCAGAATCCTTGCCTCCAAGGAGCAACCTGGTTTTCTTATTTTCTTATGTAGATTGACTAAAATGGCTGCTGATAGAACTGCAGATGATCCAGAAATGATAGATAATAGTGGTATTACCCTTATAATACTCTTATTGTTAAGTGCTGTGTAGTCAAGTATGACTCACAGTGACTCTATGAACAACAGACTTAAACCCTGTCTTTTCCTGTGCCATCCTCAATCTCAGGTGTATTCAAACCCATTGCTGCAGTCAATCCATCTAGTTGAGGGTCTTCCTCTCTTTTGCCTTTCCTCCACTTTTCCAAGCATGATGTCCCTCTCCAAGGAATAGCCTTTCCTACTAGCATTCCCAAAGTATGTGAGATGAAGCTTTGTTATTATTTACTCAAAGGAGCACTTTGGCTGCACCTTCTCCAAGACATGTTTGTCTGTTCTTTTGTCAGTCTATCGATATTCCATATTCTTCTACAACACTACAGTTCAAATCTTCTTTTATCCTTCTTAATAATTCTTGATAAGCAAAGATTTGTAAGTATTGGGGACTTACTTCTTCCATGACTCCTTTATTATTTATTCTAACATGCCTAACTGCAGAGGATTAAGTTGTCACAAATTGCTAGTATTATTAGTAATATGTTGTTGATTTTATTTACCATAGAGTTGGAACCAATTCATTGCTGCCCCTCCAGTGGGTTTTCAGAGGCAGTAGATTGCATGAGAGGAGAGTGACTTCTTTCTCCCACAGAGCAACAGTTAGATTCAAACCTTTGGGTTTGGCAGTACAATTTCCTATCACCAAGCTACCAGATCTCTTAGTACCATGTTGATTGAATTTATGTAGTCATATTGCTTTTCAATATGCAGTTTCAAATAAATGTTTGTCTTAATACTTCTAGTATCTAGAATCTAGTTTAAACTATTTGCTACCTTAAGATAATTTATGATGAAATGATAGGCAATAAACCTTTCCATTGATTTGACTTGACTCATTGTCTTTGCTTTTATTTGCAGTTCTGGGAAATGCCAGTGCAAAGTGGGTGTTACTGGCTCTGCATGTAACCAATGCCAAGATGGATATTATGGCTTCAGTAAGAATGGTTGCTCACCCTGCCAATGCGATAATCGTTCTGCCAGTTGTGATGCCCTCACAGGTACACATTTTTCCCCAATATTTTCATTAGTTAATATTTAGCTCCTTATTCTTTTTCTTTTCAATTCTTCATGTATAAGTTGTTTTTCCCAAATAATAAGGGTTTTTCTCATCTAAGTAAGATGTCATAGATTACAGCAAGTACAACAACTGGGGGAAAATAGATAAGGTTCAAAATGCATGTAGTTCAAGGTTGGAGAATCTTAAGAAATGAAAATTTGATAAACTAAAATTATACCTAAAATGGGTAAATTTCTTCTTAGGTGAGTTGATAATACCCGCCGGTTTCTTCCTGGAGAATATCTGCTAATTCTGAGCACAGATTATAACTCAAGCAAAGGAATACTCCTGGAGAAAAGGGATTCATGAAGATGCTAATGCAGTTGTTTGGGACTGGCCTGATGGATAAGAAATTGGAGAAGCCCTAAGCACAGGATAGTACTACAAGCTGTTAGCTGGCCATGTAGGAAGTAGAGGAGGAGAGCTATGCCAAGAAGGTAGAAAGCAATCTTTTTCAGTATTATGACATTTAAGAGGCAAGATTCCTTTGGAGAGATGTAGTATTAAGGATTTATTATTCCCAAATGGCTTCTCTAGCCATTGACTTTGGCTTTGCCATGTGGATCGTTGGGTACATGTAAAGAGGGTCTTGCGATTAAATCAAGCAGCTTTAGTGGCAGAATCTGAGAATCTCACCACCAGCAAAGAAGAAGAAAAGAATGCAGCACTCCCTTCAGATGAGAGATTATTACTCCAGCTAGATCTACAGATAGCAGAGGATCTGAAAGGACGGCGTAATAGTGGGCACAGGTCAATAGTGATTAATGTTATAAGACACAAAATGTGGAAATGATTGTAAGAATTAAAATGTGCATAAAAATAATAATAAAGAATTTCAAATTAAAAAGAGAGAGAGCAGCAGAAGCAGAGAACCAGCAACCTGACATGAGATGGAGCTGACCTTGGGACTGCTACCCCATGGAACTTGAACTAGGAGCCTTTGCTCTAGTTTATTGAAGGTCTTGAGGGTGCTCTAGGGGGTGGGACAGGGAGGTGGAGAGCCATAATTGATTAATCAATCAGGACAGCTTCCGAAATGTGCTTCTAATCACCTCAACCTTCAGCCTCACAGCTTTAAGCTCTTAGTCCTGCCAATTATGGTATGGGCTACCAACCTGAATTATAGCCCTTTGACTTCCCTAACATGGTTCTGTATAGTCTGTGAGCTAAGCAGTAAAATTAGTGTTTGAAGGGAGCTCTGGTGGCCTAGAGGCAAGAAGCTGTTCTGTAATCCCAAAAGCCCATGGTTTGAATCCACTAGATGCTCCACTGGAGAAGGAACTACAATCTCCTCCTGTGCCAGTAAGATCCAATTTGATGGCACACAGCAAGAAAATGACCAAAAAAATTTTTTTTAAAAGAGAATGTACTAAAATTTGTTAAACAAAAACCTAGTGTTTGAATGAGTAGAAAGAGGTGTGGGAGTGTGGGGGACATGTCTGACCTCATGGGAATTGGTTTTGTGTGTGGATATTATTGGTGGGGATAATTCCCTCTTGTGGAGTTTGTAGTGGTCAGTTATGGCCATCTCCACACTGCCTTAGCTCTTTCTATGAGAGATGGTCTTCTACAACATGTAGTTATCTCCTCCTTAAGAAATTACTAAATTCTGAAAGTGCATAGCATAGAATCTTAACCAACAAATGACAGTACTGAATCTCCTGTAGACTTTCAGGGCTGAAGAGACACAAGTTCTTCATGTTTTCAGCTAAAGGCCGGAGAAGGTCAAGACAAAATAATGATGAACCTAAGTGGAAGTGTCATATACAAAATTGTATTCCAACTTTAATCTAATTCAATATCTGGTTGAAATCTGATAATGTCTGCATAATTAAGGAAGGAACTTTCCTCAGATTATTCTAGTCTCTGTGTCTGACCTGGAATTAAAAACAGTAGGTAATGTAGAGAGAAAAGAAAAGAAAAGAAAGCAATAATAAAGAGAAAATAATAAATAGAAGACCCACATATTTATGTATTTGAGATCACATATAAAAACTTTAAAATATCTAAACAGTATTTTTTAAATAGAGAAAAATAGATAAAATAGTTGCAAAATTTCAGTGGATAACTGAAAACTATAAAAGTGAATCAAGTAGACATTCTTGAACTAGAAAGTGAAACATCTGAAATGAAGAGCTCATCGGATGGATTTAAAGCAGATTGTACTCAACAATGGATAAGTGAACATTGGTACAATGGAATGTTATGTAACATTCAGAAATGGCAGTGTGTCTACAAATGATCTCATGATGTGGTTGAAGCTGGAGAACCTTATGCAGAGTTAACCTTATGCTAATTTACTCTGTAAAGAACAAATGTTACATGAAACCACTACTACAAAAAAAAACATTCTATTGATGAATAGACATATTCATTTAGGTGAAAGGAAAGGCAAAATACAGTAATGAGAGAATCAGCATAACATGACCTAGGCAAAAGAAGGTGTAAGAAAGTACATAGGAATAAATGGAAACAATGATGAATTTCACATATATGATCTTACAATAACAATAATAATAATTTCTAAGATGGATTTGCAAAATAAACACATATGGGATGGCATATAGGAATATACCCATAAGTATATGTGGGTTTGGCATAAGCTGTTTTTACATATATATTTATACCCTTTGTTGTTATTATGTGCTGTCGAGTCACCGGCTACTCACAGCAACCCTATTTACAACAGCTCTGAAGCCTGCCCTATTCTGATCCAGTCTCACTGACTCCCACCCCCATTACCCCAATTACTGTATCAATCCATCTTTTCCTCACCTGCGCTGTCCCTTCATACTTCCAAGCATGATGTCCTTCTTTAAGGACTGGTGCCTCCTGGCCATATGCCCAAAGTATGTGAGACAGAGCATCAAAATCCCAGCCTCAAAGGAAAAACTTTATTTTACCCTCTCCAAGACAGACTTATTTGTTTTCTTGGAGGTCCATTTTCTTTTCAAGGCTCCTCTCTAGAACCACAACTCAAAGGCATTGATTCTTCTTGTGTCATCCTTAGGCATTATCCAGCTTTCTGATGCATAGAATGTAATTGCAAAGACCATGGCCTGGATCAGATGCACCTTAGTCTCTAGATTGACATCATTGCTTCTCAGTACTCTGGAGAGGTCCCTGACAGCATATTTTCCCAGTGCATTTGTCTTTTGATTTCCTGACTGCTGGAAAGAGTGTTGATTGTGTAGCCAAGCAAGCTATAATTGTTAACAACCTCAATCTTCTCCATCTATCATGGTACTGCCCTTTGGACCAGTAGTGAGAACCTTTGTCTTCTTGATGGTAAGCTCCAATCCATATTGAAGACATAAATATATTTATATAGAGTTCTAGACAATGACTAAGGATGATAGAAGGAGAACTGATGCCTTTGAGCTGTGGTGCTGGAGAAGAGTATTGACTATACCATGGACTGCTAGAAAAACAAACTGGTTCTTCCTAGAGAGGTGAGACAAGGATTCTGAAGCATTGTCTGACATACTTCGGGCATGTTGCAAGGAGAGACCAGTCCTTGGAGAAGAACATCATGCTTGGGAGAGTGAAGGACAGTGGAAGAGAGGAAGACCCCCGATGAGCTGGACTGATTCAGTGTCTGGGGAAATGAGGGTACACGTGTCAGAGACAATACAATTGGCACAAGATAGAGCAGGGTTTAGGGATGTTGTATATAGGGTCTCTATGAGTCGCAGGTGACTTGATGGCACATAACAACAACATATAATAGAGGATCAGGGGGTGAATATATGAAAGGATTGAGTCACCAGGCTTGAGACTTAAGACCATAATCTTGGGGACATTAAGGTCAATTAACATAGTGTCCACATAGCCTAGATGAGGGCCATCTAAGTCAATTAACATAATCCACAAAGGATGTTTTACATCTTGCTTTGATGAGTAGTGACTAGAGTTTGAAAGGCATATGAGTGACTACTTAAGGTGAAACTTTCTCTTTCCTATTGAAGAAAAGAAGTGTGAATAAAATTGAAGACTTGAATTAGAAAACAGTTCACAGAGCTAAGCCAGCAGACCACAGTCTCCACTATTCTAAAACCAGGAGAATGAATGATGCCTGGCTGCCACTACTACCTGCTCTGGGTGAGGATTGCTGTAGAAGACCCTGGACAGAATAGTAGAAAAATGTAGGGGGAAAAAAATTTAATACAAAGACTGTGTTTACTGGTCTGATAAAGACTGTTAGAACTGTGACCATAACTTTTTTTCCCTATTTTTTCTTTTTAAAATTTTTTATATTTGTTTGCTTAAAAAGTTCATATACATTGTGTTTCACACTATATTTCATTTACATTGTGTTTCATACAATCATTCCAATTAATTATATTTTATAAAATTAATCAGCGTTGAACTATGCCCACCATTGCCCTATCTTTCCAGAACCCTGCCAGATCTTTCCGGTTTTCTTTACCCATTTCTCCCTTCATCCGTCAAATTGTGAGACCGTATGATTTCATCCTCACCCCTCTGCTCCTACCCTTACCCCTTTAGATCCTCATGCACATTTTACTAGTTATCACTCTATTTCTACAGTAACAGAGACCATGACTCTAAAATACCTTTTAAATTTGGAGCTGAACCCACCTCCTGGGATTATCTTTTGACCAAACAATAGATAAATCTGGAAAGTAAACAGTAGTACTTCTGAGAATGTACTGCTTAAAACAACCAGGTGTATAAGGCCACAAAGGAAGGCAAGATGAGGCAAGAAAGAAGGACACATGGAAATGGGAAACCAAGGGAGGAAGTTGGAAGTGTGCTGTTATATTGAGAAGATTAACTATAATGTCATTAAGCAAAATATGTATAAGTTGTTGGATGGGAAACTAAAGAGTTCTGTAATCTTTCATTCAAGTCTCAATAAAATGTTAAAAAACATTTGAAGCATATTGTAACACAAAACACAAAATTAATTACCTTGAA